AAATCAGCACAAATATTTTTAAATAATTTGATTTTAATCCTGCTCTGGCCTTCAAGAAGAAAAGCTTCCAAGCAAAACAAACGAAGAAGAAATAAATGCTTTAAAGGTTGTATTAAAAAAACCTAACAGGGCCTGGCCGCGCCCGGAGGCGAGCGCGGCTTAAAGGGGCTGGGGCGGGGGGAGACAAGCTGTCACATTTTAGGCAAAATCAGCACAAATATTTTTAAATAATTTGATTTTAATCCTAACATCTTCAGGATCCAAGATTTTAACAGTAATAATTTTGTCATGTAGTGAAGCCTGACCCAATTTAAAATGTACACACCAGGCTCTTCCAAGTACTATTTCATCAGCAGCTCAGAACCTGTGTGTTGGGCGTGTTTCAAGTTTGAGTTTGCGATAGGCCAATGCAACCATCTAACATACCACAATACAATTACAAAAAAAAAAAAATACAAGAAAGCTGACGCATGCCTGCAGTGAGGGAGGGAAAGGGAGTAGACAACTTGCATTTTCACACTCAGTACCTCTTGCTGTGGTCAACAGAAACGCCTGAAGCAGTCTTGCAAGGGAAGTACTAAAGAGGTGACACTCACAATTAAGCATCAGAAATCCATCCACAGTATTTCTCGGACCGAGATCCAGACCTGGCAGCGAAGACTGGAATGCGATGCTAATGCAAACTCTTATCTAGGGTACGGTGCAAGATCATCAATATTTAAGCACAGAATAGCAAGATCTTCACATGCAATGAGCAGAAACAAAACCGAAGCATCCTTCTGGTGAGAAATAGCTCCTAAGGAACAATTTAGGGAAAGTTCACTCCGAAGCACAAAATGCACCACAGACAGTATATCTAGAAAAATTGAACATTTTATTGTCATTTATGAGTACAGCATTGCTATTTTAGAAATACAGACTCTTCACAAAGCACTGAAATACAGGTGCCTTCCAACTTCTAAAATCTACGTTATTCTATGTCTTACAAGCCTTTTGTTTTAGCAGTTCAAGTTTGGTCTTTGCTGCAAGAATTTCTTCACCAAAGATGCAAAGATTTAGTTCTAGACTGCAAGACAACCGAACCAAGTTTCCAACACCACCTGCCAGTGAGCCATCAAAACCATTACTTTCAAATACTGGGTCTATGTAACCTTCTTGTACTTTGTGCCCATAATGGAGTTCACCTTTGAAAATTTTAAGTTAGAGGATTTTCCAGTTAACCATCAACTGTTATTTCCATGACAGCATCTAGAAGCAAACAGATACTCTGCAAGTACTAGTGCTTATGGACAGGTTATGCTTACACAAAACCCAGAGAGGCCTCCAGAAACATTCAAGGTTAAAATGAACAGTTAGCAGTTGCAAAAATCTGTACATATTTTCAGTCATAACACAAGGAAACACTGGAGTATCAGTGTTTGTGTTCTATCTTCAATAGCGACAACTGTTCTAGTCCTAGTATACTACATGTTTCTCCCTTCCCCCCCCCACTTAAATTTTATAATTGCAATCTGAATATACAGCCGTACTTACAGGAAATATTAAACAATGCACAGCGCCTTAAGCAAGTTCCATGTCTGGTTTTGAACAAACCATATAAAATAAGTGACAAAATAGTTGAAAATTGGTCCTCGATTAGGATTACTTATTTTTATACAGCTTGGAAGCACTAAATTTAAAGACACACATTCATTATTAACCAGCACAAATTATTCTGTAGCGCTTTTTTTCACTTTTTTTAAAGAGTGTGTTACAGTATCATGCATGAAAAGCAAGCTGCTGCTCCCAAGTGCAAACATGAAGATTAGACTGAACGCTTTCTCCTCAGGTTGTTATTCCTTCTTTCATAAATAATTTAAACATAACCAAGAACAGAAGCAGCTGACTAGCAAAACAATGTGAAGTTCACCTTTTACATTGTGACCCATTCTTAAAAGTAATGGAATACTTTGGACCTTTAGCATAAGGAAGGTTCAATAAACACTGCAAAGGATTTTTACATTCTTTGATTTCATTTACAGCTTTAGAAAGAAAATTCTGTATTTTAACTTGCTAACTAACAAATCATCATCTGGAGACTGTAGTATTGAAACAGTGCAAGACATCTGCAACTTCAGGAACATCCACTTACACTGTCCTTTCACCCAAACAATGATTAGTAGAATATTGCATCAGTCCTAGATAAACAAGACAGGACAAAAAGCTCATTTTAGAAGACCATTAGGATTCAAAATTTTTTTATATTTAGTGAAAAGAATCCACACACAAATATGCACAAAGGACTCCTTAACGTGGACTTTATCACAACAAATGTAATCCAGCTGTAAGTCTTGGAACTAGATTTTTTTTTTATTGGTATGCAGCCATATTTGTTCAGAGACCACAATTAGAAGCTCCATTATTAATGCTTCAACATCTGGGTTTTTTGACACCTGAACAGCATCAGAGCTCTCTCCTGTCAAGCCAGGGACCAAAAATTCAGCTGAAACAGCCCAGGTGGACTATAAGCTTAAGCAGTCCACTTAAGCCCTAAAACATTCCAGACACGGAAAAGCTGGCTTTCATCTTTGCACTGCCTCAGTAAGAGCAGAGCCCCCTCCACTAATGCAGTATTCCAAAGACCATTGCAACTAAGACTGTAGAGTCAGGTCTCAGTTGAAAGCTACCACCAAAGGACACAATTTTCTTTCCCCCCCACCCCCACACTGCCAAGGAAGAATCTTAAGACCACTATTTGGTGTGGAAAGCAGGTCAGTAGAGACTCCAGGTGTGGCTTGAGGAATCCTCAGTACCAAGCCGCTTTCCACACACACAAATTCAGTCCATCTTCTCTTTCTGGACCAGCTTGGGTGCATCTACAAAATCCTTGCCGTTGTAAAGGATGATAGCAAAAGTTCCAAAGCTCGCACTTCCCCAGAAAAGCACATAGGCCAGTGTCTCAGTCCATGTATCACCTGTTAAGAGTCAGATAAACATTTTAGTTTATTATCTCCAATAACCAGAGAGAGGGTTTTTTTAGCACCAAAGCAAAATATTTCAAGCCCTCCCTCAGAGATCTGCTGTCAAATGAGGTTAGAAGTCCTTCATGGGTACTGGGGTCTTTCCTTTTTCTATTTCCTTACCTAGGAAAACTGTGTTTTCCACACAGTTCTTAGAACATTTTGAGCAGACAGCTACAGAAATCAGAGTCGAGAACTCTAGTGACACTAATGTTAGAAAATTCAAGGCAGAAGCAGAAGGCAAAAGCCTTCACAACTCCCAACACAGATTTAGATTAGGGGGACATCCATCAGAACAAGCTTATGCCTGTATCTGACTTCTCTGAACTGTCTCTCTGCCCAAAATGAGGTAGGTATTCTTCTGGGGATTCATCCAGCCTATAATAAAGCTAGATGTCTACTCAGGTGCAACTAAATTTGAGGGCAATTAACTGTCCCTTAAGTGACTTCTGTAGAAGTTTTAACATCATTTTCTACAGTACCTCAGTTTTTTCCACATTATAGTGCTAACCCTCAATCTCCAGAGCCATGCTCGAACCCCTTTTGGCATGACTGCTAAGCAATTTTATACTGAATAGTTTCTGGTAACCATTTACAGAAAGTCCACACACAAGCAAGCTAATTTTGTGAAATTAAACTCAGTGACTTACCAGCCATTAGCAAACAAATAATACACATGGAGAAAGCAACCACCATAATAATAGGCAACTGGGGAAAGACAAAAAGAATAATTACTTGATATAGTAGCACATATATTCCTTAATTGTCTTTCAAATGGGCTGTACTACAAAACTATTCACTTGCTTTGCAATAAAATTGCTTTAATTGCCAATTCACCTGCTGTCAGGTACAACTAAAATTTTGGATAGTTCCAAAATTTGGGAGAGTGTGTTCAATAACTAGGTTAAGAATTAAAATACACCTTCTATCTATTAAGAGAGAGGGGTTGAGGATTGTGTTTTGTTTAAAAAAAAAATATACACCAGCCACTAATTAACCCATAATGTCCCCAAATCCCATTTCACAAAATAGAAGGGGGAACGGGGAAAAAAAAAAAGAAAAAAAAAGAAAAAGGGTTTTTGTGTTACAGTCTATGCTTCTGCATGAAGTATGAGAAGAGATCTTCACAAGTTTCTTCTGCAGAAGGAAATAGTCAGTGGTGGTGACTAGTAGAATTTCTCCCTTTCCACTTGATGAAGCAGATTTAAAAAAAAAGCAAGCAGCAGTTTTTTCAATACCTCAAGGACACTCCATTTTCTGTCAAGGGAACAGTCTGGTATTAGTCCTATAAGCAGGTATCATAGAAACATAACCAGATTATAGGGAGACTTCATTACTAAATAGACAAGTTCTACTTCACCATATGAAGCAAATGACTAAAAGGTTGTATGTGTTTCTCCAATCACAAATAAAGTCTCCATACTCACAGCTAAGAATTTCCAATCTTTCTTGACATGTAGAGGACTAGCAGGTTCTACTTCATCCACTGAATAATTTCCAAGAAAAAGATCAATCGCATCCTGGATGAGAAACAGAGAGCAAAGGTTAAACATTGCTGTGCATTTTATCAAATGCATTTCCCCACAGTTAAAAGCCTAACTTACTTGTCTAAATCCATCAGAAAAGTTATTTTTGTAGTAACGTATTAATGAGTTCCATCCATCCATTATTAAGCCCCACTGAGTTCTCTTCCCAGTTCTGTGAAAAGAAGTTTTATAAACCTATTTTAAATGTTTTTCAAATTCAGGAAGATAATTTCAGGTTTACAGTTCTTCATTGTTCAAATGTGTACTACGTTTAATGAATACTTGCAAGTAAATACCTTTATCTAGTGCTGCCTCTGCATTATTACCACACATACTTGTAACAAAATTTGAAAGTAAAATTACACTTCTTTCCATCCCACAATATACTTGTGCCTTGAAGAGGCACATTTTCTTGTTTTTATTTCCAGGTGGCCTTTTCTCCTTTCATATAAACACAGTGAAGAATGAAGTAGTCTGACATTTTACCAGCTGAACCACTGCAAAACTCATTAATGGTCTAAGCCCCAAATTAATAATGTTCTCAGATATGAAGGCTTAAAGAAAAATCCCAAGCATGCCCAAAAACCCAGAATGCCTTTACAAGAAAGGCTGACTTGCCTTGTGTAATCTGTCTTTAAGGCACCAGTTCCAGCATATTGTTTGGCACAAGCATTAGCATTATCAGCCCACGCTGTGAATAGGAAAACATTAAGAAAGATTAAGGAAGTTATGTACTCTGCTTGGAAAGAAGTGATTGTCTGGACTCTATAAACAGCCTACCATTTTTGTAGATTTTCTCAAAGTCTGCTTGCTCTTCAATTCTCTGTCCAACATGCAGAACACCTAGCCTCTAAAACAAAAAAGCGTATTGAGGCTCACTAGTAGTTCGCTAGAAAAATTAGGATTTGCTTTCAGAAAAAAGCTACATTTGTTAAACTGGAGCCTGGCCAATGCATTTCAAATAAGTAGTACAGTAACTCAAGTATGCAAGCTCTTACTGAAGTGTTGAAATTATGTTTCCATTCTAAACAGAAAGCCTCTCTCCTTTTCCAGCTTGTTAAACAAGAATAATATATTTACCTGAAGCTGGGCTTGAAGAGATCGGCGTGCTAACAAGCTCTGAATCACATTAGTCCGATCAAGGCAGTCCATGCAGTTACTGCGGAATATTCCTTTTCTGAGTCACAATTTTACCATCGGAATCGACTAGAAAATAACTAACACATACAATCCACCTAAGTAACCCACACATTTTCAGAAGCAAATATTCTAGCAAGCAAAACACAGTTCTCTCGAACATATGAGTTCTTAGCCATGTCTTTGAACTTTGATGCCTCCCTGAATTCTTCCCCTCCCGTGCTGAAAAACAGCAGATGTATGAACATTTAGTAATCTCAGGGCAGTATTCATTCTTAGCATTTAGACAGCTAACCAGCAATACTGAGTTATATGTGACTGGGAAGAGCAGCTTCTGGTGCAAAATCAGTGATATATATATATTTTTTTTTTTTTTTTTTTCAGTTATTACAGGGTCCTAGCTCCACAGATATCAAGATCATTAGCAGACTGTGACAGCAGAAGTAACCAAATCTGTATAGATCTGGTCACCTGGTTCAATCCAGTCACCACTGCATAAAAGGTCATATAAGCTGTCACGCACACTTCTTCCTGGAAAGTATTCAAATCTTTAAGGCCACTACTGAAAATTTGCTACTGTCACTTACTCTTCTCTCCATTATGTGAACATCTGGAGGAACCAGATGTTCCCTCTTGCAACTGCATATGCTAATTGTTACCTCAGTCTTTTTAATCAACTAAACCAGGTGCTTCTAGTCATTGATAACAAACAGATCATTTTAAATACTGAATTGCACACAAGTATTCTGATAACTGAGCTGGTAAGACAAATATGCTGATCAAGTTATCAGTTGGATGTGTGAATGGGACAGAACTATACTTGTCTTTCTGCCACAGCATTAAACTTCCAGTTGCCTAAAGATTTACAGATCATATTCTGTGGATTAAGTTACTCCATTATGTAATTATGAACGCTGAATGCGGACTAGCACATGATCCACTGCTACTGTACAGCATTTTAAGATTATAAAGTCTAGTCATGCAGTACTAAAATCAAGAGCCTTAGAAGCACATGCATTTCCTTTGATCAACCTTGTGTTAACAAGACCCATTTTTGTCATTCTTGGAGAACTAGTTTTGTTAAACCAATTTTTACATTGTTGTATGATTAAAGGAGACAGTAACACCTGTGAAATCTTCATTTACCCCCTTCTCCCCCCAGGCTTTGCCTAGAAGTGATATCAGGATAATTAGTGTAGTTGAAGAGTAGACATTTCTGGTTAATAAGACAGTTTAAGTGCTGCATCTCCTGTAATTGCTCTAAAAAATTTAAAACAAAACAAAAAACTCCCACCAAACCCAACATCTTTCACAACTGGATTTAACCTGCAGAAAATAGAGTTGTTCACCTCCCTCAGGGTTGCAGAACTATCTTCTAAGAATATCTGAACTCAGACTTTTCTGTTCCTATTTAAGCAATAGTCACTCTAGTTGAAACAAAACAGGGCAAGGTAGAGCCAACCTAATCTCGAGAAAGAGCCTTCATTTTTGTATCTTGTTTTAGGGACACATGACTTTTTTTCCCCCTTTTTCTTCATTTAAGGAAACCTGGTTCATTTGTAAGCCTCCAGTGGCAGGTGACAGGAAACAAGTTATGTAATTCAGTATTCACTCTAAGAATAAAGGATCCTTGCTGCATAGGCAACCTACATGCTTATTTCTCCTTATTTGAGGTGCTCAAAGCCAATTTATTCTTCAGCCCTTCAGGTGGTTTTTAGTTTTGGGTTTTTTTTTGTGGTGGGCAGAGAATATTCCCTATTATCTGATTAATTTATATTATTCCCACAGCCTTCATTCCAGGCAAGAGATTTCATTCACGAGACTCCTGTTCTAGTCCACAGCTCACCTCATTTTTTTAGGATAGAATATACAACTGCCAGTTTTGTAACATTTTAGCTGATCTACTTCGTGCTTTAGGGACAAGACTTTAGAGACAGGAAGCAAGCAATCAGAGAAGCAGAACAAAGTAAACAGTTTCCCCAACAATCTACATGTCTGTAAGTAGCAGAGACGAAGTGCTTAAGACACAACTGTGGGACTAAAAGATTTAAGCCGATTGGGACATTTCATCTACTTTTATATGACTATACAAAACAAGAATTTGTTTCCTTGTGGGTTACTTATGTTAGCAAGGGCTAACAATTAGTGCCAGTACCAAGGTTTGGTGCCACAAACAATGTGTGTTAGAGAAAACACTTGTAAAAAGAGAGCAAATGCCTGTGGAAGGAGCACTAAGTGTTTGACGCTATGTAGCAGAACAGTTTGCAGTCAACAACACACGGAATTATTCTTGGATGAAAAAAAATTACCTAAGGAGACCTTTTGGTTTTTTTAAAAAATAACTTCAGTTGTATGCACGCTCATTTCTTTGTCTAACCTTTTACCCAAAAGTACAAAGGCAGCTCTTCCATCACAACAGAGGGTTGCTATGATTCTCAGAACCATTTTATTGGGACTCTACATGTTACCCACTACCAGGCCTGTAATCTTGCACATGGTATCAGCAAGAGATCAGAGATATGGAAACATTAATGCATGTGAATGCACCTTCTTTTACAGGTCTGTTCTACTGTGCCTTAACTCAAGACAACAGAAACTATGAGAAAGTGGTCTCATTTTAACAGTACAGAAGTGAAGAACTGCAGAACCTTACCTAAACTCATCTTGCTGTTCTGCTAGTTGATCCATCAAAATCTGAAGTCGATCCCACCTCATCCGACTGCACTCTTTATGGAAGTCGAATGCTATGTATCTGTTCAGAGAGAGAAGCATCTTTTCAGATTACATATGTATTGCAGTGAAGGTCTCAGAAAACCCCACAGGGAAGGGCTGATCTGTAAAACAAGTAGTGACAGAAGATTTGGTTTTCTTTAGAGATGGCTTCCAGCAAATATCTGTGGATTTTGTCAGTGCTCTGTAATCTTCCTGAGGCTGCACCCTTAGTGTGCATGGTGACAGCATTTACATTTCTTTACAAGATGCCGCTAGTCTGGGGAAGCACACATTCAGTTCCAAATTACTCATTCTACATTTTGGCTAGTATTTTTCCTCCAGAAAGTACAGAAGGGATATGCATCTGATTTCATCTCTCTTCCACCAGGATTCTTTTGCCCTCCTCTCTTCCAAGCAACTGCCTTGGGAACTTCAGTTCACTTTGAAAGAGACACAGGTGTTGAAATGCAACATTCTTTGCTGGCATGCAGCATAATTCCCTTGATAGCTCCCTAGAAACATGAGATGGGTTCTGTTTAAAGGGCTAACCTACGCTGTCATAAGAAAATTAAATGGCTACTGACTCAGAACAAGATTTTAACAGCCAAGTCATTTCTGGTAAGAAGTGCTCTAAATGAGTGGTGTTTGATTCAACATATATATATACACACACACACACACTTGCTGTGAATTACAGGGCATTACATTCCTCCCATCAAGTATTCATAATCAAAAAGTTATTATTTGCCAAGTTTTCAAGACTATTTCTGTGAAGAATGATGGTATATATACAATAAAGACTCAAGTCTTAGTCTAGCAGGTAAACGCCATCAAAACTGATTAACAAAGTAAAAGGATTTTTGTCAGCATTAAGAAAGTGGGGCTGACAAACACCACTTTTTAACATATACAGAACAAGCAGCATCTCCAAAACACACCCTGACAGAATTTTACATCTTGGTTTCCACCACATGACTTTATAGCAAAGACACACAGAATTCCACAAGCTTTGTACAGCTAAGGTATCGGTACCAGCCTAGGTGTGAGTGAGGAAAGAGCTCACCTTAGAAGTGGCCTTTTTTAATAAAAACAAAAAAAAAAATCCACACCCCCACACCAATAACACACAAATGCGCCCCTGAGGGCAGTAAAAGAAGCACACAGAAGTGAGACATCTGTAACTACCCTACTGAAGACAGCAGCAAGGTATCACACAAACAGAAAAAAGCTTGAAAAAATTCAAAGTATGTCAGGATTTATAAGGGCATCTTGATTATACTCTGCAATTCCTTAGTTATGCTTAGACAGAAGTGAATCCTTATTAAAACAGGATGCCTTTTTCCTTACGGGGAGGATTTTGTCCTTTGACATGCACCAGTGACAATAGTTGTATACAGCGATTTCAAGGAAAAGACAGAGCTTAAGTGTGGGAGCTGGATACTAGCCCACCCTCTAGAAGTTAGTGAAAGCAAGCACAGGCAGGTTGTAAAATTGTTTACTGCACTTGAGATTCCCACAGAGACACACAGAATTTCTCTTATGATTAAAGCGCATTCTCCACTCTCTTGGCCCATTGTTACACTGAGGTCCAGACATTTAAATTACATGTTCCTTCCTTTACTAAGTTTGCAATGTAACCAAGCCCTTTTGCCAGAAGCTAGTTGTACAGGGCATGATTTCTTTTTCCTAAAATGCAGATGATCTTCACAGTTCTCATAGCATACTATTACTCCAATACTGGCATTACCATTGCCTCTGAGCTCCCTTCTTTATTCCGTCTGCTTCCTCTTTGTCCCATATTTGCTTCAGTCTCACTTCTGCTTAGAATGTAAGCTCTGAGGTAGGTCATATGCAAGTTACTTCATAAAAAAACTCAAACAAATCAGACAGTTGGTAAAGGCCCCCAAAGAACTGATCACTCTGTGGGTCTCAGAGGCAATGCTTAACTTTTAACACAAAACATATCATTTCACTTCACATGTACCTGACCATTCCATTTCCCATGCTGTTTACCATTTTCGCAAATGTTTGCTCAAGAGGCTTCTCTGAACCTTTTTGGTTAACCTGAGAGAAGGGGAAAAAAAAAAAAAAAGACAGTATTACTCAGAAGCCTGCTTAAAAGAACAACAGCTTTTTCAGGAAGAAAAAGTGAAAGCATACCAAGTTGACAACCATTTGCTTTCCATAGCTAATAATTTGTGAGTCAAAATGTCTTTGGAAGCCATCCATCTAGAAGAGAAAGGAAATACGTTGATAGATGTATGCTACTATTAAGATCTGCAATTTACAAGAAATCTCTATAATAATCTTTTTGGTGATACTGCACACGTAGTTTTATAACTAAGAAAAGTGTTTGATGTTCTCTGTTGTGCTAATACATTTCTACTTTCATCCCCCCAGTCTCCTTATTAAACACGCCACAGATAACGAGCATTGTGCAGCTACTAAAACTGTCACAAACAAGAACCAAAGAGAAACTACCCCCATTGATGTCTGGATTTTTTTTCAGGCTCTGAACTCATCTTAAGGAGTATGAGGCTTCTTGCTACTACTTTTTAAACATAAAGCTCAATCTAGTATTGCTGATTTTTATTCTTCTCATTACAGTTTGTTACCCTATCACACAAACACGAGCCTAGAAATATATCAAAACCCCAAGACACAACAAACACTCACATACATGATTTACTGACTTGCTGATCTGTGGCTTTGGTTTATACTTGAGGTTTGGTCTTTGAGACCAGAAAAAAGGAATTGATCCACGGGTCTGCAAAAGAATGGAAATAGTTTTAAACAACAAAACTTATGAACTCTCTTGCCATTTAAAAATAAAGCAGACTGCTTTAGTTTATTTGTGCGCATGCACACCTTATATATCACCTATAGAAACACAGAACTATCTATGTATCTTAAGCCAGTGAGCAGTTCCTTCCACGGACTTTACCTGAACGAACGATGCTTTGCTCCCCTTGTAATGCACAATTTGTTCCGTTTCAACAAAGTTAGCAGCATGTCCTTCTGAATCAATACCTATGTAGGAGAAAGACCTCATTAACCAGCTCAGAGTGGCTGCAGAACAGCAACAGTATAAAAGCAGCAGGTTTCCTAACCCCTCCCTTTTAAGTGCTCACAGAAAGCATGAAAATACCACAGAGCTGCCTGAAGAGGGTAAATTAAACACACCTTTGGCAAAAGTTTAACATGATCTGTACTAAGTTTAACTTGAAGAAGCACAGTTGTGCTTAACACATTTTGATATTTATAGCCCTAGAAATTGAGTCATTTAATACAAAATAAGAGTGCTTTGACACTGAAATAGTCACAATTCAATAGCAATGGTACTGCAGAAACTGACCAATTTCTTCAAAAGCATCTATGTTGGGACTAAGAAGAGGGCAAGTCATTTAAATCCATTTCCTTGTTCACTTTTTAAAGTTGAAACAATTGGAGAACACCACTATTCAGAGCTCCCCTGCCAGCACTAATGATGCTCTTAGTTGCATTTACTGCTAGGCCAAAAGGGCTATTACACGCTTGCATTTAACTCCAATAAAAACAGTGAAGTGTTAAAAACCCCTGCAAAACTTTTCAAGTTATCTCTAGAAGGAATAAATTAGAGTCAGTTTTAATAAATACCAGAACATGCTTCAGTTCATCATACTGGTTCCTAGTATTTTCTTTGGAGCAAGGACCTCCTGAGACAAACTATTACAAGCATTTTTTTGCTCAAGCCATTACCCAGCAGTTACTTTGGGTACATGTACATAAAATAAAGTAAAATAATAACAATATAATAATAATAGTAATAATAATATACAAAGCAAGTGATGCACAATGCAATTGCTCACCACCCGCTGACCGATACCCAAAGGTAAGTTACATGTATAGATGGAATTCGCATTACTTTAAAACAAATCAATTTGCTATTTTACCTCTTACATAGTAGCGTACACCAGCCCTGAAACAGCTTCTTCTGGAAACAAGGAGCCAGTCAAAACACTTGCCATTAATAGAGCAAGAGTGCATAGTGATAACTAATGAATAGCACTAAGGAAAAATGCCCAAAATTTCATTAGGATATTTTTATACATCAAGAGGTAGGAAACATCAAGAAACCAAGCACCACATTCAAAGAAACTTGTAAACATTTCTCACACCAACAGTTGAACATTAAACTTCAGAGAGAGTAACTTAATATTAGGACCAGTACGCGCATCACAAAGAACAGGCTATAGGTGATGTTACTAATGAACACACTTTAAAACCGCTATAATTTTGAGAAAACTGAATTCTAAAGAAGATTAATCTGATCTTATGGTCCTATGTATATCATTAAATGGATTGACTCCTGAAGTTCTGCTCAGTGTTACATCCATCTCATCTATAATTTTATTAAGCTGACTTAAGAGTTTCTTGCCCCTATTGCTTTTAACAAAGAATACCACTCTGAAACATTTTTCTAGGCTTTTAGAAGAGTATCTTGGGCTGTTATACCATGCACCTGTAAGTGCAACATACATCACATTTACAGATGCCAGAACTAGCAGCAAGGTAGACTGGCCTTCAAATCCACACCAAGAAAAAGAACAGGCACGTACCAAGTCTCCAGTGGAAGCTTATTACGTAAGAGCACTTTCTTGCTCAGGCTGGATACCCAAAGCGGCAGATACACCATAATCCGGGACTAATCAACCAACAGGGGCCACTGACAACTAGTTTCAGTTTTAAAGTCTTGCTCTGTGCTGCTACAATTGCCTTTATTTGAACTATCGTAAACTATCAAGTCTAATAGAGACCAGCATTCATTGTGAATAACTTCTCCAGGTAGATTCACAGGCTTTCATCCTTTGCCCCTAAAAACTGAAACCTACAACTTTAAAGCAAGCAAAAGGTCAAAATGGTCAGTTTTGGTAAGCTGCAGTATTAGCATACTGCAGTCTTCTATTCTTTGAGGAATCTAGATACTTTGTCTTAAGGTTGGTAAACAAGATGTATTTTCTTTTTTAAAATAGCACATTTTACAGTGATTCTGCATTTATGATTCACAAATGGAACATAAAGCAGCTGTGTCACACGACTACCTAAGCTATGTTAAAGAGCACACTGACTGCATACATGGAATATCTTGATTTATGTACGCATTTGTGCTAATACTGTTTGTTAAAACTTAAAAAAATATAATGCAAATGTGCCCTATATAATCGAGAATGTTCCCACATTTCGTAAATTTGACTGTGAAACAGACCTATTCCTCTGCTTTCCCGGAAAATTACTGCCAGGTCCTACACCCTTTAATCCAACACTTGTACAGCCAACAGTTTCCTGCAAAGAAAGGTTACCTTTAAACTCAGCTGCTTAGCAATAGTCAAACCCATTTTCTGTCTGCAACCTCTGTCCTAACTTAAATGGCAACTTGCTATTGGCTACTTTCCACACACAAAAAAGAAGGAAAAGACATAATTTATTATTCTTTAGAAGGTTTTTTTTTTTTTGAGCAACAAGGGAAATAGTAAACATAGTTTAGGCTTTAGATGATCAATGTCTCGATAACCCAGTCAGTCCATTATTTCTCATCACTGCAAGACTAGAACCCCAGTCCAGATAGTTGAACAAAATATATTTGGGGGGTGGTGGGTGGTGCATCTTTGATTTTACTGAAATAACTGCTAGTGGTGCTGTAACAGTTCTGCTTAGGGCTCTTCCTAGCATTTTCATCACTAAAAATCCAGTTTCTTTGAATTCCTGGGTTCTCTAAGGTGTTTGGTTAGTATTAGAATTACAGGAAAACATACATTACTTATGCTAGTTATTTATATAGTGAAAATAGCACAGAGGCAGGTGTTAATTGCAGTCTGCCAATTGCTAATTGCAATCCACCCAGACTCTTCCACCCAGGACCTGAAGGATAAGGATTGGGTTGTTCTGACAGTTCCCTTGTGCTATCTTTCCTTGCCTCTCCACCTACTCCCACACTTTCCATTAAATGAAGTCACAGGAAGGAAGGACTGGAGATCTGTCAGCTGCTAGCAGTCCTACCAGAACAACCGATCCAGTCTGGAAGCTGTTCCCTGCACACACCTGAGGGGCCTTTGCAATGGAGGAACTAAGGAGAATGTGGCATGAGTTCCTCTGTCCAGTTTTGCCAGTCATTTTCATGCTGCCAGTCCAGAAGCACCTGGGACTTCTTGTTGCTCACACACTGCATGAGGAACACTGCCTCCAGAAAGCATTAGGCTTACTCACAGCATACACCCCTTCTGAAAAATAAGCTCACGACTGCTTTGCTAAAAAGGCTGTTACCCAAAGCATCGGTGCAAGAAAAACAGCTGGCTAGGAGAAGCGTTCCAGGAACCTTCAGTAGAACTCTTTATCCTTTTATTCATCAACAGGAACATCCATAAGCACTCCTTCAAGTCAAAACTGTTCTCCCTTATTTTAAATCCAAAGTAAATGCTAAGTGAAGGTATCCTTATAGCAAGATAAAAGTACTAAGGCTGATGTGAGAGCATTTGCCATATTCATCTTAACCTTCCATCCCACTGAAAGACAGTTATGCAAATCATACCTGTAAAATTAAATACATTAAGCCTTAAAAGCAGAATAATCAAGTGAGCTAACAAATGAGTGGGCTATCAAACAATATGTAATGCTCATATCTGAACAAACTACAACTTAATTCTGACACTGTGTTCTGTTTATAGTTGCCAAAGCCAATAGAGCAAAATGGTTGCTGATGTGGCTGCTGTTAGACTACCATATTCAGCCCTGAGCTTTACAACGTAAAAGGATACATCCGTGCATCACAGGCATAGCAAACCTATGGATCTGAAACACACACAATACATGTTAAAAATATTAAACACTAGCAGCCAGAAAAGGTGAGTGACTATGCTTTGTCTAGGAGGGGGGGGGTTTTATAGTTTTATACACTTTATATCCTTTACTTTTTGTTTAGGGTGCAGTAATTCTTTCTGAGAAAAAATTTCAAAGAAAACAGCAACATATGTAACCCTTAGCAGCAGCAGGGAAAAGGTAAAAATCTAACCCTAATTAAGTGACCTTGACAAAAAACCAAGCTGCTTTGTCCTCCTATACATGGCATTTACTCTTCTACAAACACGTCAGATATAAAGTAGTACACACTGAAAACCTTTTGATATGGTATTTGCTGTACCTCCACAGTAGGATGCAAGCAGAGATAGTGAACAACACACAGCTTCAGTAAGGAATACTTCTTTGTGATTAATACTTGAAATGCTTGTTCCAGGGTTTTTCCCATCCTGCCACTCCTGAATCACTGGGTCTTTCAAAAAATTTAAAATTAATATTTTCCAATACTAGAAGTCAGAAATACGACCTCTCATTACCTAAAACTGTTACTATAGCAAGACACTTGTAGTCAATACTAGGTCACACTTCCCCTCACTTATCAGTTATCTTCCTTTTCAACTTCTCTGTTTTGCCTCCTACGTCTGTTTTCACCAACCAGCCATACTTGGCTTTCTTTGCTGCTCCCACCACAGCTTGTCTCATTTCCCAAGCTTTGTTTGCTTAGCACTATCCAAACCATATACCCTGTCACATGCTTCTGGAATACGCACAAGAGCCCTTTGCTAATTCATATCTTCACATTCCAGAAGCACTGCACAGTCCAGCCTTTTGGAACAGTGCTGTCTAATACAAGAGCACATCTCCACAGGTTACCAAGACAGAAATAGAAGCAGTGCGTCATTCACTTCAATAAATGAGAAGTACTGCTAGAGAGAAAAGGTTGCTGTAGTGCAGACAATTCCAGAAGTTTAACACACATCAGAAGTCTCTAGTAGGAAGGAGCTTAGATCAGTCTGGCCATTGAGGTACTACAGTTGTGGCTTATGGTCATGCGCTTGTATTTGCTGGCCTAAGTGAATTCAAAGGTTACACCGTGCTAGTCTTCATTTGAAATAAACTGAAAGAATCTGTCAGTCTTACTCTTAATTATCAGCTTTATGACTTATTCACTAGACAAATGGAGTTTAAACTGCACTCATGGAGAAAGATGCAAGCCAGTCTTAGAAAAAAAGTGATGAGCTGAACCTTGCCTATACCTAAAGACAAACAAGTAGCTAAACTTCAAAAAAGCTTGAAAAGCACATGCTGCGCAGTGTAACTTCCCCTTTGGTTTATATGAGCAGTCTCAGCACAGTACCTTCAAATGCAGACATTTCCAGAGTCAGCTTTACTATATGTACTACTGAGGACACTGACAAAGTTAGAAGTTTGAAAGCAGAAGACTGTCACTGTGCTAAACCAGGAGGTGAATAGCCACATTATACTAGATTCTGTCTGTCTGAAATAAGAGACAGAATTACAGGAAACTCTTGTATACCTACAGTAAAAGTATATTGGTCCTCTATTAATATAGTGATTATGAAGTCTTTACCTCTGGTTGAGCAGCAAATTCTCTAAGAAGATGTCCATTCCATACAAACCGTGGATCTGCCTGCAGCAAGAAAAAAGCCAACATGCTTTTAGAGACTGTCAGTTATGTTGAATTAAACATAAAGAGAATATGATAGTATCCACGCACTACACAAGTTTAGGTGAACAGATGTACATGGAGATGGAAAATTCTTCTTTCATCAGTACCATTCGTAACCTCAACTAGAAATCTAAATAAAATAAAAGTAGTTAAAAGAAGAACAGTTCTCCAGTCTTTAAGGGTGTTGCCTGACACTTTATGCGTGCTGAACCATTAACAACTGAGCTGCAGAATCAGAAGAACTTTGCCCTAAGTAAACAGGGCTTGAAGAGATTATCCAAAATTTTAAGAACAGTAGCAAGGTAACACTCCTAAAACAGGCAGAAGGTAAAAATGCAAGGAGTCCTGGATGCAATAATCAACAATTCTGAGAATCAAATGTTAAACAATACTTGTAGCTTGAGACAAAAAGTATTTATATTCCACTGCATAAATGATCCTCTTCAACTTTGTGTATTTCCTATTCCTAATTCACCTCAAAAGTGTCTTGAGCAGGTTGCTGAGCACATTCCAGAAAGCTACCAGGTTAGTTACAAAAGTGACATTTGCTGCAGAACGTAATGCAGGCTCCAGGAAAGTGGCATAAATCTCAACTTGACAAGGCAGGCAGACAATACATCACTGAGGATTAGGGTTAATTTAAGCTCGGTGTTGGAACAGTCCTTTGTCTAATAGAAAACAATACAACTATGTGCCAGAAACTGATCAAATCCTACCTGCAGTATCATGAACTAGTCAAAGAACATGACATGATGCTTTGGTGCCCCTATATTGGGGCCATTTCCTTCTACAAGTACTGTTTAAAAAAGAAACCAAACCAACCACAACGAACACAAATATGACACCAAAACGCCCACACACCAAACACAGGCTTCGCTTGTAGAGGTGAACTGGAGATGCCCAAAATTGCCACCATCCTTCGTTAAGCCATTATACTACAACCACATGAGTGCGAAATTATATTAAAATGGTTTTAACCATCTATCATCTGCATTTACTTGCACCTGACACCTTTTTACTGTACTTCGCCTTTCAAACAACCTTCTGAAGTGCCACAATTTTAAGGCAAACCAATCCTTTCATGTTAGCAACTGCTCTCCCTGTCAAGAGTACTGCCAGAGCAGCATTTAATAGTGCAAAATAGTCCCCAACTATAAACTTCTTAAATTGATTTTTTTTTTTTTTTAAATGTTGGAAAAAGTATACTGCTTCCCCAGTTTAGACAGTTCCTGTAATTAAGAGACAACATCCCATAACTCCACTGCCACCTCTTCAGGAAAAGAAGAAAAAGTGCTGTTGACTTCCAAGGTTTCAGTATTTCAGTGCCTAGGCAGTTTAGACCTTGTTTACACCACAGTATAGTACGTTACCAGACTAAGGATTCTGGAACTCTGCAAGCACAAGAGAATTTTAAGCTTAAACTGCATTTGGCTGTGTGATTCTGTTGTCTTTAAGACAAAAGCAGCGTATTAAATTCATGCTTCAAACATAAGGAATAGTCATAGTTTAGACAGAATGCAACGTCCCAGGGCCAACAGCCATAAACCCCACAGTTCTCTTCCACATTATCCTGGAAGAGAATTTGAAGTCAAGTGCCATTTATTCCACTTTGCAGTTTTTCCCACCCCCCAAATCTAGGTCAGAGGAATGACTTGTTTTCTCTCATTTTTCTGCTCAGTTCCTTCTTGTTGCGATTAGAAGTGTTCAATACTGAAGTTGGCGGCAAACTTTCATTTATTTTGCATTTTTTAAATCCATTTAAAGCAGACTTCAGAAAGTACTGATCTAGAAGTCTAACATCACATCTGAACCTATTTTTAGAACTTTATTTTGCTAACAAGCTATGAGACTTAAGGAAGGGTGGACTAGTATGCTCAGCCACAACCCCTAACAGTTTCAACAAAATGCCACAATGGTAAACAAACTTGTGTACTGCAGCATTACAGATCAGCAATTTCCACCCTTATTCTAAGCATCCTATGAAGCAAACTCAAACTGTAACTTGACTCAGCGTACTTTGCACACTTGCTTGCTTCTTTTTCCGCTGTCAGTCACTTATTCCAGAGAACTGCCCCAGTACAACTCAATTGACAAGATCAGAGATAGCCTAGTTACACAGTTTAGCAACATAGCGCTATTTTTTGCTGGTTCTATTATAAGGATTTGCATCTAAGCAACATGTAGATCTGTTTCACTAGTTTAAATTAATGATTAAACTAGTAAAGCCATTTTTAGTTTAACAGAGGACCATAAATGCTTTAACACTATCTGCTACCATTTAGAATATTAATTCATTGTTAAAAAAAAGTTTCATCTCAAGTCTAATGGGACCACTGATTTCAGCAACATCATCCTAAGCTTTACCTAAAGTTTCCTTTAGTTTGTGATAGTTTGTTTTGACATCAGTTAAACACCAGCTGCATTAACTAAACTTAAGCCATGCAGAACTGATTGGCAATGTCCGAGACAGACACTAAGCAAAATGAAATCCTTACCCTCTCTAGGAGGCTCATTTCCTGGAACTCTGGGCTCGTGTTGGCTAGCCGTTGCAGAGTGTGTGTTAGGTCATATGTTGTTGAGAAGTAAAATCCATCCACGCTCAAGACATGACTAAGCATTGATAAAAATACTTTATTGTCCTGCAACTGTTGAGAGGAGAAAAAAAGGACATAAGAGCTCTCATTTACTACCATCGAAATACCTTATTCTTAAGCTACCACTGCTTTTTGAAGCGATGAGATGAACTTTGCTCTAGAAACACATGACATCATCCAGAGATCACTGCACAAGGAAACCATGAGATTGCCATTTTGATACCAGTTCACTGATAACTTAGACCTAGCACACTGCAAACAAATTCTGCAAGAATAGTGGAGAGCAGCTAACAGTATTCCTGTGAGGTAAATAGCTACTGTTATTAAACTAATATTAGCAACTGCCAAGCAAAATGGAAGCCATTAGTTTCCCTGAAAACCATTCAGTCAAAAAATGAGACAAGATAGCAATGCAAAGGAAGGTATAGAACTTACTGTCAAGATTGCCCCAATAACTAATCTGTGCCCTGGTTCAAATTTTAATTAACCTCACTCCTTTCCTGAAGGATCATCAGCCTCCCTTTCAGCTCTATTGGTTAGACACCCTTATCTACGCTTTATCAATCCACAAGATATCTGTTTTAAATAATCTTCATCCTATCCTCCCCTCTCCAAAAAAAAAGAAAAAGAAAAATCAGTTCCTCCCTGCTGGATAATTATGTAATGGAACAATTTCATAAATTAAGACAGATAATTAGATGACAGCAAGGCAGCTTACTGTAGGGGCTATCAGAATAGTAAAGCTGCGAGAACATTAACAGGAAAAGCACTGTGATTTTGTGGACTGGCTCAGGGAGCCTTCTTTGTCATAGGCTGCATTTCTGTGATCTATTACAAAGCGGCACATGCCAGGCAAGCAAAGCCTTCATGATGGTCCTCAGAGGAGAAAAGATGATAACAAGATTTAGGAATAAGAACAGAGATGCAGCAAGACAGTCCACCTCATCCTCCCATACTGTACCATCTTAAAAGGGGGAAAAATGCACAATATGCAGATCAAACTCTGGGGATTATATTACAAGTTGCACAATGTGAGTTCGTTATCTTGAATGACGTAACTTTTTATACATCTATACCCAAATAGTACATCAATTATAGTAGTCTGAACAAATCAGAGAAAAAAGTGTAGTTTCAAAGAGCTTCTTAAAATTTTTTTCATAGTTTCATCAAATTAGGTCCTGTGGTAATGGACATTAACATAAGATAACATTCCCCCACACTCCTAATCAATCCACCTACCTGAATATCAGTTAAGTGCAGCATGGTCTTTTTGTAGGAGAGGATGTCAAAGTCTGTTGCTTTCCAGATTGCATGACTGAAAATCTCACCTACTTTTTTCTTTTTTGTTATTACAATAAGATACGTGCCTGTAAATCAGAAAGAGCAAAGAAAAAAATGCACACATTAAGAAAAGCAATCTATACCCATACCAGAAAACTGAAACCAACAGGACAGAGTGAGGTTTCTTCAAGCTACACCTAGGACTTTATGTTCTTAACAGTAAGGGGCTGGAACAGAACCAAAATGTACTTGCTAAGCTATGTACTTCTCTATGCTCACAGATCTTGAGTTACTCATTAAGTTTGAGGAATTAAAAAAAATGGACAAGATAAAAAAGTGCCAGCTACTCTTACTTCAGTCCAGAGACAGTCTGAAAGTCTTTAGGCTTGCAAGTGCAGAAAGAGGCCAATGGTCTTGAATGTGGTTTGGAAAGCACAAAGCAAGTCAGAAATACATGAAAGGAAGCATGCTTCAGAATCCAAAAAGCCTATTCTATTCACCTTATCCTGAAAAAAATATTTATCCTAAAGGTTCAAAGTGGAGCAAAGAGAATGGTGTTTCTTTTAATAATTTAAGATGGGAAGTTTGCTGTTTTCCTGGTTGCATAAGTAACAAAACAAAAAAGCATAATCATGACAGTTCACTCAAAGCAATTAATTTACACTTGTCGGTAAACACAACATAGCCTTATTTCCAAGCCTACTGTATTTCAGTGCCATCTTGTTTTTGAAGAAAAAGGTTAGTTTATTAAACTGCATATTGATGGAGAAAAATGTCTCATCATCTACATCTTATCACCATTAAAGTCTTGCACAACTTCAATTGAGCAAAACAATGAGCAGGCCATGCAGAAGTACAGAACCACAAATCTAGCACTTTTTTTGTACTAAAGCATTCAAAGAAGTATAAATGCCAAAGCAGAAACAGTTCACATTGTGTGTGCTAAGTTTACCCATTATTTGTATTTACTACTATACCTATCTATACACCAAGTTTTATGGACAGGTGAATTATTGTATCAGGTATCTAGTCTGTATAGTTAGTCAAAGAACAGGTGCCACCCCCACTTTTTTTACCTCTGCAGCTCTAGTATTAAACCTTTTATTTGTGTGGAATATTCAAGCACTTAAGAATACTCTTAGCATGCTTGCATCTCAAATTGTAAGTATTGCTTTTGGTTGGTCTGTCAGAAGCATCCAGATACATTACAAAACCAGCACATTACATCCACAGCTATGCCATAAAGATGCTGCACAAATAGATACATTTAATCTGACATGAATTTTCAATATTGTCTTTTCCTATTTAGGTATGCAACCTTCTGTTTAGATTTCAGAGCTTTGGATACTACTTCAGCAATTTTTTTTTTTTCCCCTAATACTGTAACAGGTGAAGAATATTTATGCTTGTTAAAGATGCTGCATTGCTAGATAGAGAAGCAGTTTTACAGTTAACTGCCTAACAACACTTAGAATCATAGAATGCTTTGGGTTGGAAGGGACCTTTACAGGTCATCCAGCCCAACCCCCCTGCAGTGAGCAGGGACAGCTTTAACTACATCAGGTTGCTCAGAGCCCCATCCAACCTGACCTTGAATGTTGCCAGGGATGGGGCCTCTACCACCTCTCTGGGCAACCTGCTCCAGTGCTTGACCACCCTCATTGTAAAAAATTTCTTTCTTATGTCTAGTCTAAATCTATTCTTCTTTAGTTTAAATCCATTATTCCTTGTCCTGTCACAACAGGCCTTGTTAAAAAGATTCTCCTCATCTTTCCTGTAGGCCCCCTTTAAGTACTGGAAGGTCGCAATAAGGTCTCCTCGCAGCCTTCTCTTCTCCAGGCTGAACAATCCCAACTCTCTCAGCCTGGCCTCATAGGAGAGGTCTTCTAGCCCTTGGATCATTTTGGTGGCCCTCTTCTGGACCCACTCCAGCAGGTCCATGTCCTTCTTGTGCTGAGGGCTCCAGAGCCGGATGCAGTACTCCAGATGAGGTCTTACCAGAGCAGCGTAGAGAGGTAGAATCCCCCCCCCTCGACCTGCTGGCCACACTGCTTTTGATGCAGCCCAGG